AAAAACAAAGATGCTATGAATTCATGATTTATACATTACCTAAGACACTGAGAGGATCTAGGAGTAAAAATTCCCAGTAGTAATAAGCACATCCAACACGCAGACCTTGGTTTCTAAATACTACTCCCCACACTAGAAGGAACCAGGGTTCCTTGGAGAAACAGCAGATTGAGGTTTGGAGCAAGGAAAGTCCAAATATGGACTTTAGATATATTGTACTAGAAAGCAAGAAAATGATCCAAGTCAAATAGGACCACAACAGAAAGAAAAAAAGAGCTGGCTTGAAGGGACTCCTACTGGCCAAAACTGGGAACAATTTGAACATCAGGAAAATGAAAACAATAATGGATTATAAATAATTCACCAAATAAAAAGAGAATCCATTGAGACCTCAAAAATAAAAAGAGTAAGCTCTTCTTTACAGAAAAATCAGGCTGATAAATAAATGATGAACTTGAACAGTCACCATTGTGCAGTCCCTAACATGCAATAATGAATAAGGCAAGGACCATCAATGGATGCCGAAATGTGAAGGTTGTGAATGGCTTTTGAAAGACCAGATAATCAAAGTATCACCCCACAGATTATTAATTACAAAGGGAAAAAATATATACACACCTTTGGAGAGATCTGGCAGATACCACCTTAACCAAATGGTCAAGCTTGTTTTCAACAGTGGGTCAACCTAACGTTAGGAGCCTCTGACGTGATGCAGTACGTACACATCTAAGTAAGGTTCTGGTCAAAAATGTTTAAGATCCATTCCTTTTGAATCTAATTATGGGGGAATGACAAATCCAGGTTCTGGGACACTGTCCAAGACAACTGGACTAGCTAGACTCTCCAATAAAATCAACATAATGAAAAACGAACAAAATACAGGAGATCCGTTATAAAATAAGAGACTTAAGAGACATAACCAAATGCAATATGTGAATCTTTATTTGATCCTAGATCAAAAATTTGATTAAAAAACTATAAGGTTTTGGAAATAGAGGAAAATTGAATAAGCTATATGTAAGATTAGAGAATCGTTAACTTTCTTAGCTATGACAAAGATACAAGGGTACTTCCAAAAATTTACGGAAAGATTCATATTATCTTTTCTTTTTGTTTTCTGTTTTTGTTTTTTTTCTTTTGGCAGCTGGTCAGTCTGGGGATCTAAACCCTTGACCTTGGTGTTACCACCACCATGCTCTAACCAAGTGGGCTAACTGGCCAACCCCATCTTTAATTCTTTTTCCACAAACTTTTTGAAGTACCTGTATATTATGGTTACGTAGGAGAATGTCCTCATTAGGAGATACATACATGATTTAAGAGTAAAGGGCCACAATGTCTGTGACTAGCTTTCAAATGGTTCAGCAAAATTAATATATATTTAGAAAGATAACTGTGACAAAACGATAAAATTGGTGAATCTAGGTAAAGGGTCTATGGGTGGCCATCAAATCTTTCTTTCAACCCTTCTATGGGTTTGACATTTTCAAAAGGTGTAAAAGTAAAGAAAGTAATAAAGATCTGCTGATCATAATTTAAACTGAATTAGCATCCTCAGGATTGGAGCTCAGCAACCTTTATTTTTCAAAAGGTCCTCCACGTGATTCTGACACACAGCTAGAGAAGGGAACCACTGGTCTTGGGTTTCTTTTTTTATTTTATTTTATTATTATTTTTTTTTTTCCTTTTTTTTGTCTTTTTTACTGACCGGTAACGGGATTGCAACCCTCGGTGTTGCGCCCGCACCGCGCTTAGCCAGTGAGCGGGAACCGGTCTCCACATGGGATCTGAACCCTCAGCGGTCACGCTCCCATGCAGTGCACTATCCAGTGCGCCACCGGGCCGGCCCTGGTCTTGGGTTTCTGCTACCACCTCT